GAAGGTCCGTAGACACCGTCACACTACTATCAACCTGAAAAACTACTTTAGTAGTCATCCTTGGTTTCGTGGAGGTCTACTAGGTTCGTAAGGATTTCTAGGCAATTTAAATCTTCTCTCTCTTTTCTAGGACGCTAAATATTAGCTCCTCGAGGCTAATCTAAGGTGATAAGGATTACTGTATTTCAAATATTACAATTGGACTTATTTTTTAAAAAATTTATGAATCAATTAAACACAAATATGACGTATCATAAACTAAATTTATAATTTAATCGTGTTCTTACTAAGATCCATGTGTTAATTTTCTTGATAATTGAATTCAACTATGAAATCAAAATCTCACACATACTTCAATTTCAAAATTAAGGGCATTTATATTCAACTCCAAACAAAATCAATAAACTCCCTGTTTCTAAATTTATGATAAGAAAAGACCCACATCGCTCAAGTTAGCGGCAGGAAAGCATCACATCACTATAAATAGCAGACACTAGCAATCCAAGAACCATACTTACCTGGACGAGGTCGATGGACGATCAAGAATGCCCATGGCCTAGATTGGTGACCTCCATTGCACATAAAGGAGGGGTGCCCGTCTAAGGTCTGCCCAAAGCGGCAGAGCCTACGTCATTATTTGTGGCAGCGGGGGCCTGCGTTCGCGCGGCCCCTTCCAATGCACCAGTTTCAAAGGTTTATTTTCCAGGTATGCTCTTCACCTCTCTCTGCTGAATTGTCGTATCGCTGTCCTTTCTGCCATTGTTTGCCTCTCCGGGAATTTATTTTGTGTTATCCAATAGAAATCGGTTTGAAGTAGATTTAGAGAAAACATGACAAGGAATTAGAACAGGGAAGGAAATGGGTGAAAGCATTCATTCTCTGGATACGTTTTGATGGTTGGTTTGAACATTTGTGTTAATACCTGCTTCTGGAATCAAAATTTCTTGGCTAGGCTAGGCTGCTTTCTTCATTTGATTTATTATATTATGAATGTTTTCGTTTGATGTGATTCCCTTCATGAAGCTCCAGAGCCGAAACATGATAATTTACGTTGGTGTGAGTTTCGTAGGCTCTGATACTGATTCATAAGTTGTAAAGAAACTCCATTAGGTGTGAACATTTCAGGCCATTTACCTGAGCTTGAAACTTTCTTAGACTTTCTTCCCTTTGAACTTTTGTCAATGCTTCTCAAGAACGTCCTTTTGATTTCATTGAGGTTCTTATTAAGACTCAGAAAGGGTAAAGAATAAGAAGAAAGGAAAAAACAAAGAAGAAAAACTGTTGGCCTCGTTAACATCTCCCAGCTTTCGAATAAAATTCGTTTTCCTTGCTCATTAGCCACAACTCTGGGCAAGTGGACAGTGAGATACGTACATGACACTGATGAGATCCGATGCAACTCTATTGGAATTGACTTCCCAGAACAATGCCTTCCAACCCCCCTCTCTTTTTATACCCATAATTACATTTTTATACCCATAATTACAACCCTGAAATCTCTGTTAGGAATCACGACTCTCTACAATGGTATGATATTGTCCACTTTGAGCATTATCCACTTTGAGCATAAGTTTTTGTAGTTTTGCTTTGGGCTTCCTCAAAAGAGCTTGTACCAATGAAGATGTATTTCTTACTTATAAACCCAAGATCATCCATAAATTAGCTAATTTCGGACTCCCTCCAACAATCCTCAACAATCCTCCCCTCAAACAAAGTACACTATAGAACCTCCCTTGAGGTTTATGTAGCCCTCGAACAGCTTCTTCTTAATTGAGGCTCGATTTCTTTTTCCGGAGCCTTTGAACAAAGGACACCATTTGTTCAACACATGAGTCATTTTTAACTACACCTTCGAAACTAGCAATTTCTTTGTTCAGCACTGGATTGTATTGATATGGCTAAATTAAGTGCATGATCTTGGGTTTATGAGTCATGAATGGTATGAAGTCTTTTGGTGGTAGCCTAAAGCAAATGCATGAGAGTTTATGTCTAAAGTGGACAATATTATATCATTGTGGAGATATTATGGAGATTCGTAATTCCTAACAATCTCTTTCTTTTGGGGGGAGCGAGGGATATAAGATAATAGTTTCTTCCAGTCAACTCAGTTTCAAGATTTCTGTGCCCTTTGCTGACGAGTTGTGACCGTGATGACCAAATATGAATAGAATAGAGACAAGTTTAGTTATTCTAATTGAGCATTGAGACAGTGGAAGGAAGAAGCAATCCTTGACAGCAATTTAAATGCAAATTCATTTGAAGCAATGGAAATGTCGATAATTATCTTCTTGGTTTGTATAATCTATATATATAAGTCTTAGGATTTGTAACTGTAACCCACAAAAATGCATTTCTAAGTTTTCATTTTCCACTATTGCTTTGAACGTCTTGAACGACTTGAAAGGTAGCATCAAGCATCTAACCATGAAGTACCTTTCAATGGCTAACAATATCATAACCATGAAGTACCATTCAATGGCTATCATATAAGTACATTTTGATAATCATATGTTCCTACGTTACGGGGCATCCATCCATTCATGCGGTTGAGAGCCCTCACAACTTAGGCACAATGTTGCAATTATAGGGACATTCTCTACCACTAAACAATAGTCCATCGTGTGGGCCTCCTGTTGGGCCCGCTTTGGAAGTTGTCCCAACACTTAAAAAGAGATTGTGTGAGGCCCAAAACATAATTCTGCTCCATTTATCGTCTTTAAACAAGAAATCTACGTGACCTCTACCTCTTCGTCAACTCAACGTGACCCTTTCCCTCTAATACCATTATTTTGGAAACCTAATATTATACTCTAAATCTCACAATTTCAAAGAGAAAAAAACTTTAAAATGCACCATAAAAAAAATTGTTCTCTTCGAATCTTTTTGAGTTGCTTCAATTAGCTTTACTTGCCTTACTCGACTTGTTGCTTGGTAATACACGAGACAATTCTAAAGCTACAAGTCAAAAAAGTATTTGTATGCCTCCATATAGATCTAGATACTACAAATTCGTGAATGTGTTTTATAAATTTCAATTAGTTTCTAACATGACGTTGAGAGTAACATTTATAAAAGAAAAGTTTTTCTATTGCTTTTTAGTTTTGATGAACGAGAAAAATGAATGATGAGTTATTTAATTGAGCCTCATTAGAAATTTTCCATTTTAGGTTGCTTCAAAGGAAATTAGGACCAATACCATGTACATAAATAATTTCATACAACAATGTCATGGACTGTGTTTAGTAACTAAAATAAAACAAAGAAAAAAATATTAAAAGAGCAATGCAACTACTCTAGGCAGATTCCATGGTCTTTAGTATAATGTCATCGTCAACGTGGAGAGGTGTCTTGCCTTTCTCTGAAATATAAAAGTAGCACGTGACTTGAGTATTTCCAGTAAAGTGGGTGGCTTCATAAGAGTGTCAAGACGAGACTTGAGTATTTCCAGTAAAGTGGGTGGCTTCATAAAAAGTGGGTGGCTTCATAAGAGTGTCAAGACCAGCACTTGCTCGAGAAAGAGAACGTTTTTCACAAAAGGTGGGCAAATGAGAAGTTGGTTGGAGTGGAGTGCCAATACAGAGTTATGTTATAAACTTCCAGACCTTGCTTCTGAAAAAGAGATGTGATCATGACAAGAAAATATCATGATACACAAACCAACTTTGCAACGATAAAGGAATGTGGCGTTAACTAGGAAATGTCGTCATACATATCTTTGTACGGCTCAAATAATATGATGGTTGAGGCCAAAGTTTGGCCACGTTTGGGGCACACTCCCCTAGCCGAGGCGTGGAATGCCGATGCTAGTTTTGTCATGGTTTGTCCCATATCGATTCTAAGTGGGCGAGTTAACTCCCAGTGGGATAGCCCATAACCATTAGGCAGTTGTGTTTTGTTGTGTTTATGTTGGAAATCTCGGAGACCGAGATAAGGTTCGATAATGGGATAGCCCATAAATAGTGCACAAGTTTTCGTATTTATTCTGAGGCGCGATAAAGTTCAGCGAATCAAGTTAGCAACCAATCCTATATTTGGATCGACGATATTGAGATTAAGTGGAGGAGAGTCATAATCCACGATAAGATTGTGCCCTTGAATAAGTCATCGAGGAAGATGACTAGTTTAAGTCAACAACACTATGAAGACCGTAAGTTGTGACCCCCACATGCAACACACAAGGTGTGAACTCTCAAATGGCACCTATCTAACCATGTAAGGACAAAAACAAGACAAGTGACATAAATGTGATCGAGAAGGACAATGCATCATCCACACACCAAGAAGAGTGCATTAAAACAAAGCTGAGACATAAGCAAGGTTGGAGAAAACGATGCAAATCTTGAATTATGTCCGTCTATATGAAAAATGAAAGCTTACGAAATTTGGTGTCAATCAAATATTCGACGAATGCTCCACAAGGAGTATGATCGCTTGCCAAAATAATGTATAATCTAGAATGATTAGAAATATTTTAAAACCTATTATAAGGAGGCATGGTGCCGGCTTTCCATCACCCCTATGGGCTTTGTGGATACTTCATACCCTCATTCATGTTAAATTCTATTGGTTGGTCATTCAAGCTTAAGAATATAATTGTGCCCTTGTATACATCTACCAGAGTTCCACCAACTTTAAAAAATGATCTACTTAAAGTGATAGGTACCAACTTTTTGTAAATTGATAGAGGCATTATGTTTATACTCGCCCCAAATCACGTAGGCCCTACCCAATTCTTTTCCTCCTACTGAGACCGTAATGGTGAGCGTCCTAAATCCTTCTCCATCAATTAAAAGGGTTATATACTCTCTAAAAGGGGAAAAAAATACTTTAATTATATTCTAAACTTTAAAAATATTCATTTTAATCCTTAAAATTTGAAGTTGTAGTCAAAAAAATGCTAAAAGTGAATGAATCTAAAAGGTATAAATTCGAGTAAAGTTCAACGAAAAATTCATAAGCAAAATTAGGGTCTTACGTGAAATGAATGTCGAAGTAATCGCTCCCATAATAGACTCTTGTTGTGACATTGATCCACTTTTACATTCTTTTTACAATCTTCTCTGTAAACAAATTAAAATCTGTTAGTACCAAAATATCTAACACATCAAACCAATTGAAGTCATTTGAAATGCAATAGTTTCTGTATAAAATAAACCCACCAATCCAAAATTTATGAGCATAAATTAAAACCCAACAACATATCTCTTTAGTGTAAATATATATGATCATAGGTCTGCTCGTCCTGGGTATCTGGGGAATGGTATAACATCTCTGATGTTGTCAATCCCAGTGGCAAAAAGAAGCATACGCTCGAATCCGAGGCCGAAACCGCTGTGCTTCACTGTCCCATATCGTCTCAGATCGAGGTACCATTCGTATGGCTCGAGCGGCAAATCTACCTCCTTGATTCTGCAGGGAAAAACAATTGAAACTTCAAAGTTCACCAAGGAGAAACAACCCGAAAACTATGTATTGTTCTTCTACCTGTCTCGAATAACCTCGTACCGCTCCTCCCTTTGGCTTCCACCAATCAACTCCCCAACCTTCAATAGAGCAAAGAATTCAATTTTTTTCAAACAAAAGGTCAAAAATGGTGAAACAAATCACAGATAACTTAACTACCTTTGGTACAAGAACATCCATTGCAGCTACAGTTTTCGAGTCGTCATTGAGCCTCATATAAAATGCTTTGATTCCTTTTGGATAGTTATAGACAATGACGGGCTTTTTAAATACTACCTCAGTCAAGTATCTGAGCAAGGAAGCAGAAAAATAATCACCATTGTTTCAAGTGGAATGTAAATGAAAAACATCGGAGTTCACAAACCTTTCATGCTCTGAAGCTAAATCAATCCCCCATTCCACTTTGTTCTCAAACACCTTACCCTTCTTTACAGCTTCTTCAAGTATTTCAACAGCTTCCGTATAGGAAGTTCGAACGAAAGGGGTTGAAGAGACCAGTTTGAGACGATCAATACAAGTTCGGTCATACTTGTCGGCCATAAATTGCATGTCATCTAAGCAGTTATCAAGTAACCATTGACACAAAAATCTCACATATGCCTCCGCACAATTCATATCATCCTTCAAACAATTAAAGAAAAGATGTCACACAAGGTTAATTCAATTAAACCTCTAGAAGAAGAGCATACAATCAAAATCTCTAGAAGAAGAGCATACAATCAACAAAAGAGAACTAAATCCCTATTTGCAGAGTTCCGTTGCTTTTCTTATTCCTATCCTAACCAGTTCCATGGTTGATTGCCATATGCATAGTAGTTAAAGAGAACACAGCAAACTTAAACCAAGCCCTCTAGCAACTTCTTCTCAATTAGAGTTCTTAAGGAAAGGCCAGATTGTGCACAAGATTAACATTTAGTTACGAAAGAAACTCATAGGAAGATAAATATTAGATAAACGGCAACTATGGCTTGAACCCATTTCCTCCTATCGTTAGTTATATTAACGAATGACCACTAGGCCAACCAAAATGGCTTTCTTATAGAAATTAATTACAAAACTAAAGGAAGAGATAAACTGATCCTAGAACATAAAGCATCCACTACAAGATAAAATGTCAGAGGTATTGTTTCTTTTGATAGTTATACGTAGTCAATCTTCTAAGCCAGAGACATGAACCCAATTCCAATTGAGTACGCAAAAAAGAATACAACTAGGAACAAAATTTAAGCATAGTAAATAAACCTGCAAATCTGCAAATGCAATTTCAGGCTCAACCATCCAGAACTCTGCAAGATGTCTTGAAGTGTGAGAATTTTCGGCACGGAAGGTCGGTCCAAAGGTGTATACACTACTAAGAGCACAGGCATATGTTTCGACTTGCAGCTGGCCCGAAACAGTCAAAAACGCTTGTCGAGCAAAGAAATCTTTTGCATAATCAACTTTCCCATCTTTCTCCGGAATGCCCGGTTTAAGCTTTGCTCTCTCTTCCAGCTTAGAAACATTCTCCTTTGCCTTCTTCAGTTCCATAACAGAAGCACCAATTTCCTCCTTGCTAGCTTTAGATGCCTTCAGCTTGGCAACAGCTTCTCCTTTCTCCTTGACAATTTGCCTTGCTTCATCTACTTCTGCTTCTGATGGAGGTGGGTTCTTAACCAACTCCTTTTCTAACCTTTCAGCCTCACTCAATAATGTGGTAACTTGAAACATTTCACCAGCACCCTCACAATCGCTTGTGGTGACAATTGGTGTGTGAATATAAAGAAATCCATGCTTGTTAAAAAATGTGTGTGTGGCATAAGCAAGTGCATTTCGAATTCTAGCAACCGCAGATATCTGTAATCGTAGAGAAAACATGAACTCGTGGATAAAAGTGTACTGATAATCAGTTACAGAAAAATGCAATAAATGAAACCCACAAATGTGAAAACCCCAATCGAAATAATCTGATTCAATTTCTAATTATTCAGATTCGGAAGACAATTTCAATTTCTTTTACCGTGTTGGTTCTAGGGCGGAGATGGACGAAATCTCTTAGAAACTCGAGAGTGAGTTTCGTCTTCGGCAAAGGATACCGAGCGGGATCAACCGAACCGACATGAACGACAGCATCAGCCCGAAGCTCGACTTTCTGGTGCTTACCCGGTGGAGGAAGCTTGAAGACACCGTCGACAACAACACAGGTTCCAGTAGGGACAATCTGGCCAAGATCCGCCAAAGACGCTTCGATGATCACTTGGAGATTCTGCGGGCAAGAGCCGTCGTTCAACTCGAGAAAGGCAAACGCATCCTTGTCGGCCTTTCTTCCGGTTTTGACCCAGCCACCAACGCGAACCTTCTGGCCGGCAAGGCCTGCGCCGCCATCGGGCCGGGAGACAATTGAACGGATCGGAACGCGGTCAGAGAATTCGGCTTTGAGAGAGTTGTAAGTGGGAGCATCGTCGTTCAAGGTGACGGCGGCGAGTTGGTCAGCGGGCGGCGCGGAATGCTCTGCCATTGGACTGTCGCCGGTGGATACCTCAACTGCTGAAGTGAAATTCTAAACCCTAATCCACACTTGGCATTTAAAGTCTCCGTACAGGTTCACATCTGTCCGGCTTTCTAATTTTAATCCGGTTCGATTTGGTTTTTCTCCTCCAAATAAGTTTTTTTTTTCTCTCCATAAAAAAAAACAAAAATAAAATAATAAACCGGGAAAAAATACTCTTCAAAATTTTTTAATTTTTTACTTTAATTTTCAATTATCACTATTTTCAAAGTATTACAATTTCATCCATAAACCTTTAGTATTTTTTAATTAACTTATATATTGAAACTAATTTAATTTTTAATTAATTAGTAGAATTAATAGTGAAAAATTAAGGATAAAATATCTAAAAAATATCTTAAAAGTCACTTCAAAACTTCTTAACGTTCTCTCCCTTAGATTTGTCATGTACTTGCTAACAATTCCTAGTTCATGTGTTATATCAGGTTTATTACATACCATAACACATATCAAGCTCTCAACTGCAAAAGCATATAGAACTAAATGTCGTGATTTCTCCTTTAACAATTTAACACGATTTGCCAAAAGGGTAATCTTGGGTTTAACATCCTTCACCTTGAATTTAATATGCCAAGAGTAATCATCCTCCTAAGAATCTTTCATCTCAAATACGGAAGACAAACTTACCTACAGATGATTTATCTCCCTCCTACTAGATCCTACAATTAGTAGATCATCCAAGTACAAGAGTAGAAACACATACGAACTTGTGTATTTCTTGAAGTAACAACACTAATCATTTTCACTCACGTGGAAAACATTAAAGAGTTAAACTTCTTGTACCCACTATCTTGGTGCTTGTTTCGGTCCATGCAAGTTTCTATTGAGCTTGCACATTAGTGTTCTTTACCTAAACTACAAACTTTTTCGGTTGCTATATAGATCTCCTCATCTAGACCATCATGTAAAAACACTGTTTTACAATCATTTGCTCAAGGTGTAAATTCTCTGATGCAATAATACTCACACACTCAAATGAAGAACAAGATGGGAAATACAAAGAGAAATATGTGTCACACTTAGGAAACTCCTATTTTAATCTATTAGGTTTCAAATGACTAAATCAATCCATACTTAATTTAGGGCATTTAGGTTTAGCTTTAATTTAATCTCAAACATAATACAAATGTTACCATTGAAATGAAATCAAAATCCGTACTCGAAATATTCAAATAGGATAAAAATATCAAAACCAATTTAGTAGAGTTGGAGGGACCTAATTCAATCGAACCGAATCACATCATTTCCTTCCTATAACGACCCTAGATTCTACTTAACTTATAGTCGCTACTGTATACCTAACGTAATCATTTTATGTGAAAATAATCATTTGAAACATAATCATAAAATATTATCATAAACTACATCTTTACTAATAAGTAGGGGTGTACATGGTCCGGGTTGGGTCGGGTTGGAGGATTTTTTCGACCCAACCCAAAAGTTCGAGTTGGTTGGATTGGTAACCCCCAACCCAAAACTTTTCATAACCCAACCCTCTGTTTTCAAGTTGGGTTCGGGTTAGGTTGTCAAAAAAAAAAAAAATTAAGTTTTATTTATCCACAATTTATAATTATTCAGATACCATCTAAAATATATTAAAAGTCTATAATTATTGACAAAAAAATAATAATAATAAATTAAAAAACGAACGAAAATTGTAACATAATTCAACATTGTCATAAAACTAAAGACAATTAAATACCGACATTTTTTAAAAATTAGTTAAAATAACAAAAATACAAAAATAGATCAAATAATTAAAAATAACAAAAATACAAGGATAAAAATATAAGGAGTAAATAATAAAAATGATTAGTTTAAAAGTATTATTTATAATAAAAATAAAAAATATATAAAAATATTTTAATTGAAATATGTTTATTTCCTTGAACTGAACTCAGTACCACTCTAGCAGACCTATCAATACAGGAGTATTTTTAATATATTTTATATATTTTTATTTGGCTCGGGTCAATTCGAAGGTTTTTTCCATGAACCCGAAACCGAACCGATTTAGTTCGAGTTCAGAAAAATGAACTCAACCCTACCCGAAATGCTAATCCAACCCAACCCAACCCAACCCTTATAGTTCGGGTTGGGTTGGTTTGGATTGTCGGGTTGTCGGATTGAATGTACACCCCTCTTAATAAGTCTTTAAAACAATTTAACAGAAATTAAAATAGACATAAGTAAAATAAAATAGAAATATTCTATACTAACTTGTAGTCTACAAATTTAAATACTATGTATGTGTCATGGTTTTCGAAATTGCAATGTCACCATTAACCGTACAGGGAGCCTTGGTTTTACTTGAAAAATAAGAGTAGCGGGTGGCTTGAGTATTTTAAGAAATACTCAGTAGGTGACCCCACTATTGGGTGACCCCACTATTGGGTAGATGTGAGCACACACAATCATGAGTGGAACTATCTTTTAAATTTGTATTCCCTTAGGCGACTATCCTAAGTGGGTAATTGTATGTATGTTTACTATGCTACACACAACCCACACATGGAGTATAAACCCACCGGTTCTCACACTTCTTGGGCTCCTTTTCTGGTTGGGCTAGAATTCTCTAGTGCTGTTGTCGGACACTCGGTAGGAATAGTGATCATCGCAGCATTATGATAAATATAATGATCATTTTTCTTTTTCATAACATACATGTTCCTACCATCGTAAAAGGAGAAATTTTTCAATGCATGTATTAACAATGATACATGAGATTCCAACATTTTCATTCATTAAATCATGTAAAACAACCTCTTCAATTTTACTTCATATCATATCATTTTTATCATAGCTTTCAAAGCATGTATCGGGGTTGTGCATCATGTTGAAATATCATATCGCATGTCATTCATATCATTCATTGTGTCACATCGTGTCATATCATAAAACATATCATGTAACATGTATCATATTCTAAAGCATATCATATCATAGACATATCATATCATAGGCATAGCATATTATAATAACATCACACATAACAGACATATGACACGTGTCAAGCCTCTTTTGACTCGTGTCATCATGCATAAGATAATTTCTAACAAAGCCAATAGTAAGGCCACTTTCTTGGTTGGTCTTGGCCGACATTCTCCCTAAACTAATTGTTTAAGCTCGTTCTTCGAATCTTATTCCAAGCGTCGCCGAAATATTTCCTATAAAACATTCACTCAATTTTCTTAATAACTCTAATTTTCTAATCTAATTTAACTTGAATTGAGAAATTGACCGTCATACTGGCATTAATCGCCTTCGATAAGGTCGAATTCAACTTCAAGTCAGTCGAAAAGGTAGAAATTAACTTCCCAGATCTGGGTTGCCTTTCACCTCTAGTTACTCTCATTCACAATGGAAGCATCAGTACTTTAGTATAATCTGAGAATGGAGAGGTACGACATTGCCATTATTTAAAAATTAACTTCCTCATCGCCAATGGTGATTCTAAACTAAACACACGATGGAAGGGTATTGTTTGGCTTACATATGCGTTCTGAATCCTTGTTGAGTTCTATCTTGGAGCTTCGCCCTTCGTATGGTGTAAATGTGAGTTTCTCACCGACGTCGTTCTTCAATATACATAAACGTTTCATCTCCTCTTGGTATTCTCAAAGGTGGGTTTTGAGGAGTGACTGAAGCATGGAGTAAATTTTGGCCGGCATTGTGGTTGCATGGGAGTCGTGGTCACTCAATTGTCAATTGCTAGCAACAAGTATTTTGTTTTACTTGTTACAATTTTAGTCATTGGATGTGGATGTACATGATTATAGATAAGGAGAGGCATTATATACGTTCAAAGGAGTCCTTTCTAATATTTTCCCTCCTTGAATATACATGCTATGATACCAAGTTCACATTATGTCTTATGAGACACTTGATTAGTCTTGTATGATATGAATGATATGTCGTATATATAGACCATTGGAAGGTTATGTCATGGAAAATAAGGAAGTATGATGTGCATCATAATCTTGTACCATTATTTGAAAATGCAAGACCTCATACATATTATATGTCACGAGCCTATGATACTTATCTAAGATGTTTTGTATGGACCCATACACTATGATATGATACCGCTCCTTTCTTCCTATTGGTTTTCAATAGCATGAGCATGCTCTACCCCATAACCAAGCCTAGTGGATATGTATACGAGTCAAGCCTAATGGGAATGTATACAAGCCTTTCTAATGAGTTTATGCGCACTTGCATTAAACCTTGTGTAGAGAAACACTATGCATTCAACCATACCAAGGAAAGAAAATAGAGTCCAAAATATAGTAAGAATAGTAGGTCCCACCATGAATGCATGTGATTGCATTTTCCGTCCCTTATAGTGAGGTCACTTCCCAACCCTACCATAGGTTCACGCCGATACTTTTTTATAGTATAGATAATAATGGTACCAAAATCAAATAAGAACTATCTTTCAAAAGATGAGAGTGGTTGATAGCTCACTTCTCAAGTCCACTCCACTTTGAGTAGAACCTTAGTTGTGTACCCACTCCACTTTGAGCATAAGCTCAGTTTTGTAACAGCGTCTACCGCTAGCAGATATTGTCAGAAGCTTAGTTTTGTAATAGCCCAAGTCTACCCTCGTAGATATTGTCAAAAGCTCAGTTTTGTAAAAGCCCAAGGCGCGATATTGTCATCTTTCTACAGTTTTTACTTTGGGCTTTCCCTACCGTTTTTAGGTTTTTAAAAAGTGTTTGTTATGTAGATGTTTCGACATTCTTATAAATAACGCTTTGTTCTCCTCTCTAATCAATGTGAGATCTCAGATCCGTCTCCTTTCATGTTAGGAACCACGACTCCACCCTAACCATAAACTCTCATGATTTTGATTTGGGCTTCCTAAGAGGCCTCTACCAGGCTTTGCTTTGGGCTTCCCAAAGGCCTCCACCCTAAGCATAAACTTTTATGGATGTATTCTTTACTTATAAACCCATAATCCTCTTCTAAATTAATGTCCATGATCCTCTTCTAATG